AAATTATTCTTGTTTAAAAAATAAAAAAAGGTATTTTTTAAAGGAGCTGAACGTTTTATATTTGCTTTCTGAAAGGAGTTTAAATTTCAAACTGACTGGTCTACCACTGTGTATTCCAAATGCAGATGTCTTCCCAGCCCTGTGAGCTCACGAGGTTTTGGCAGGAAGAAGGACCCAGAACTAACTCAACACTTCTTGGAAGAAGTACTTGTCTAATCAGAGCAAGAGAAAAACTGCATCACTGGCTCTATTAATATGCCTGATATAATTAGTATTATAATGATTCTTTTATCAAAGCAACAAATAGATATAATGAGATTCCAATAATCTCCAATCTAGTGGCTTCTCAATCATGACTTCACCTTCTACTTTATGCACTAGCTCATCTCTGCTCAGAAGTTACGGCCTTCGTGAATATTCAGTTGTCCTGTCAGAAAGGCATTGAAGCTGCGAAGGGCGACATGGAGTGGCAGAGCAGCCTCGACCAGACGACCTGAGCACAGACCTATTGTGCTGCCTGTGGTCTCAAAGACAGAGGACAGCAGCAGGTGGGCTGTGTGGGTGAGAAGCTTTGACACTGGGACTAGTTTTGCTGGGTGTCTACACAGCAAGGCACTTGATGACCACAACACCCTGAGGGGGGTGATGTTCCTAAAACCACTTTCTAGAGGACACCAAGTCAGAGGCAGAGTGGATAGATGCGTGGATCTGGACCACAAAGGAAGCTACGAAAGTGATCGGCTGGAAAACAGGCACTTTCAGCACTCAGCCAAAAGTGAGGGCAGCACAGACAGACAGTGGGGACAGCACAGACAGTGAAGACAGGACAGACAGACAGTGGGGACAGCACAGACAGTGAGGACAGACAGACAGTGAGGACAGACAGACAGTGAGGACAGCACAGACAGACAGTGGGGACAGCACAGACGGTGAGGACAGACAGACAGTGGGGACAGCACAGACGGTGAGGACAGACAGACAGTGGGGACAGCACAGACAGACAGTGAGGACAGCACAGACAGACAGTGAGGACAGACAGGACAGTGGGGACAGCACAGACAGACACTGAGGACAGCACAGGACAGGACACCAGAAAGGACCCTATGTTCCAAGTGATAGCAAGCTCAGAGCACACTGCGGTTGGCCCCACAAGAGGTGGCCATTCAGAGCTGCTAAGGACAGCGGCGGGTGGAAAGCAAAGGCAGAGTTATCTGTGACTCAGGGCCTGCTCCCCTTGGAGTAGGACAAACGAAGAAAGTGACAAAACAGAAGACGGCTGCTGCTCAGGCTGAGTGACAAGACAAAAGGGCGTTTCCTGCCACTTCTGCATTACAGCTCAGGACAACATAACTGCTGAAATCCACCAAGAAATAAAAGCAGAAAGTGAACTGCACCAAATGTTTAGGATCTAAACTAAAGGGAACTTGGCCCCTCTGATCAAGTATCTGCATCAGGGGGGTGGTTTCTCCACACTGGTCACACCTCCCTTACAGTCACATCTGAGAGGGAACAAACCGCAGATGTCACAACCTCGGTTTCCAGGTTACTCACTACCCCTAGCCCACCGCTGCTGGCCAAGCAGACTGAAATCACACCCCCCCTGCTCTTCCCCCAACTCCCTGAAAAAGCTACTCCCACTATCTGCTGTGCCTCCTTAGCTCTCTGCTCTGGGGTCCTCAGCGGGTCTACCAGATGGCTTTCACAACTGACCATCCCAGTGCCTGACTCCCTCCAGAATCATGTCCATGTCATCCCCATTATCCTTCCTGCACCCATGTCAGGCTGTGGCTCAGAAAAGCCATAAATATAAATAGCACATCCTCAGTCGCTGACTGCCCAAAGTCCACCCAACACTCGGCCACTTGCCGCCACCGCCGCAGCTAACATGTCTACATGTGTGCCTTCGGGAAGTTCAAGTGCTGTTGCTGGCAGCAATGGAAGACTCCAGCAGACACAAAATCAAGTCGATGAGGTGGTTGACATCATGAGAGTCAACGTGGATAAGGTGTTAGAAAGAACTAGAAGCTCTCGGAGCTGGATGACCGTGCAGATGCGCTGCAGGCCGGTGCGTCTCAGTTTGAAACAAGTGCTGCCAAGCTGAAGAGAAAGTACTGGTGGAAGAACTGCAGGATGTGGGTGATAGGGACCGGTGTCCTGGTGACTGTTGTCATCATCATTGTGTGGTGTGGTGTCCTGGTGACTGTTGTCATCATCATCATTGTGTGGTGTGTCTCTTAATGAAGAACCCGGGAAACCGAAGCCACTGTTCAGGAGCGTCTTCAAGACTTTCTCCTTAGAATCTGCTGTTATCGAGCTTACCTACTGTTTTTTCTAAGTGATTATTTTTGTTAGTTTACATACAGTTCATTGTCTAGGAAATGCGCCTTTGTTTTCATATACACCCCAGAAGGGGTGTGACCTCCCCTGCCCACATTCTGCACAGTGCCTTCACAGATTTCTGCACCAACTAGGGAAGAGGACTTCTGATGCTGTCACTGATGACTTGCTGTGGATTCCAGGAAGGGATTTTGTTCAAGTCAGCTGTCCCCACACTGAGATCGCCTTCAAAACCACATTTTAAACCCTTGGGTGATTAGATTCCCCACTTGCACCTTCCGGGAAGAACACTACTGCCTAGTACAAATCGGTGACAATAACAGGGCGTGCTTATTTTGACACTTGGCTCCTTTTCAGTAGGAGGACCCTCGTTTTTGTAAGCACTACTGACCCTGCTGTATTTAAGATGCTCTCGCATTAGATGTCAACATGTTTGCTCTCTTGTTCTCGTGCATCACTTCTAGAAGTATTTTAATCAAAAATAACCCTTTAAAGTTCTTATAGAACTGTGACCAAAGTTTCTCTGTGGCCAAAAGTCAAATACAAATAAAATGTCCATAAGTCTATCCCTCATAGATTAAATTGAAATAAGTGCTAAATGTAACTCAAGGTGCCCTTGAAAAAAAAAATGTTAGTACTGTGTGAGCCTTCAACATTTTCCCAGTCCTTCCTCTGAAATCCTGTAGATAATGCTGCCCCTTCAGACTTGGTTTCCTCATGGAGGGGTAGAGGTGAGCTGAAGGCACACCTGTAGTAAGACATTCAGCCAGCGGTTTGCAGACTGAGCTGGAAGCTGTGGCCTCCAGAGCACCGAGCAGCAGCAGTGCAGTGGCCTCACATCAGAGCTCTCGGGCGGGGGCTGCTTCCAGCCATGCCACTTCCTACGTCAGGCTCCGTGCTGCCCTGGAAAGGAGGCGTTGGTCGCTTCCACGTGGATAGCCAGGCAGAGATGCCGACTGGGACATTTTCCTTGTGTATCTGAGCCTTGGATCAAGGGTGGTTCAAAGATGGGAGTTCAGGCTCTTCCTGTAAACGACCTGAGGTAACCTGAGAAGATGGTTCGCTACTCTCTCGACCCGGAAAACCCTACAAAATCATGCAAGTCAAGAGGTTCAAATCTCCGGGTTCACTTTAAGAATACCCGTGAAACTGCCCAGGCCATCAAGGGTATGCACATCCGAAAAGCCACCAAATACCTGAAAGATGTCACTTTGAAGAAGCAATGCGTGCCGTTCCGGCGGTACAATGGTGGAGTGGGCAGGTGCGCCCAGGCCAAACAGTGGGGCTGGACACAGGGTCGGTGGCAAAAAAGAGTGCTGAATTTTTGCTGCACATGCTTAAAAATGCAGAGAGTAATGCTGAGCTTAAGGGTCTAGACGTAGATTCTCTGGTCATCGAGCACATCCAGGTGAACAAAGCACCTAAGATGCGTCGATGAACTTACAGAGCTCACGGCCGGATTAACCGATACGTGAGCTCCCCCTGCCACATCGAGATGATCCTCACAGAAAAGGAACAGATTGTTCCAAAGCCAGAAGAGGAGGTTGCACAGAAGAAAAAGATATCCCAGAAGAAACTGAAGAAGCAGAAACTTATGGCACGGGAATAAATTGAGCATAAAATAAATGCAGATCAAAATTTAAAAAAAAAAGATGGGAGTTCAGGCGTGACTGGAAGTAAGAGAGCAGTGAGAAGAAACAGGCTTTATTTGCCTGTAGCGGTGCCACCACAGTGCCCTGGAATTTGTGTTTGTGTGCAGAGTGGCCTCAGTCAACATGTGACAGAATCTGGCTCCAGTTTTTGATTTGTTCCCTGACATTACTGAAACAATACAAACATCGAAAGTCTGCCCCGCTGTGGGAAAGCAGCAGCAGCCTAGGGCTTCTGTCCTGGTCTGACCCCACAACCTTGGTGCTGTCTCCTCCATACTCAGACCCATGCAACTCACTGGCTCCTGCACTAACACAGTAATACCTCGCTTGTCTGTGCATTTAGCTGGGGACTTTCCCGCTATGAGGTCCTGAAAAAAGTTGTTACATGAAAATAAAAAAGCCATAAATAAAGCATGGGGAGGGAAGAAGGAATGGATGGGCAGAAGAGCTCAACAGAGAACACCTCCTAAGACAGAATGTGCAGCACACAGAGAGCTCCAAAACCGCTGCAGAGCCCTGGAGAGCCGGGCTCTGCCTGGAAACAGAGGTCACGTCACATTTCTTGGGTAGTATAGGAAGTTTAAAGGGTATGCTTTTAATGTCAGAATTGGAAGGGTGGAGCTTGCCAACCAGGAGTCTAGCCTAATTGGTGAACTCCCAGCCAATCAGAGACTCTGTCTTAGGAGAGGTGAACAATAGTCCTGAGGATGACACCCAAGGTTGTTCTCTGACTCCCACACAAACTGGCACACATCCATGCGCCTGCACACATAAACACTCATGCATGCATGTGCATGCATGCTCACACACGTGTATACACACATACAAAAAAATAAGTTCTAGATAAGTAAGAGTCACTTGGAAAATTGGAATGGATCAAGAACCTCTCATTCCTCCATAGCCACTCACTACAGGACTTCTGTACAAGTCCAGGGTCTGGCATGATTGTGCAAGGCTGTTTACTCTGCAGACATCAAAGGGGAACAGGACAGAAGGTCTCCGTGGCCTTACCCTATGTTCATTGATGAGAAGGTCCCGAGCAGCGTTGAAGATGAGAGTGTGCAGATGCTTGGAGTAGAACACCAGAGTGTAATCATAGTCAAAGCCATATATCTCAATGTCCGACAGGCTCATCTCATTGTTTGAGAAGATGGCATCTGGATTCAACAAGTTGTTCATGATGGAAGGAACCAATTCTAGGAGCAAAAAAGGAATCCATTATCCCATGGCACAGATGAGGGTTGACCAGCTTGTAGAGGAAAAGAGCAGTTTACACATTCATGTGATGCCCAGGACGGGCAGAGCCAAGGCCAGGGGTGCAGCTCATCCACAGGGCACTGCAGAGACGGGGAGAAGGAGCAGGGGAAAGCTGGCTCATGGGGACAGAAAGCAGATTGGTGGCTGTGTCAGATGGGTGAGGAAGGGACTCTTACTGAATACAGAATTTCTTTTCGGGTGGTAAAAACATTCTCAACTTGATTGTGGCAATGGCCATGGCAGAATGCTTTATACATATACTAAATCCATGGTGGGGATCCTGAGAGTCTTTCATGTGAGTTCAGGGGAATCTACATCACATGTCGATGAAACTAACACTGAGAACGAACACGTGCTCCAATGAGAGAATGAGAGAGAGAGAGAGAGAGAGAGAGAATGAGAGAGAGAGAGAGAGAGAGAGGGAGAGAGAGAGAGGGAGAGCGCTAACACTCAATGTATTGGCTACCATTGTTTTCCCTATCTATCCTAAGCTGGCCTTACTACAGGCCTGTGTGGCAGTCTCTGTAGTTCCTATTCAACCACAAGCTCACACCACAGACACTGAGACACTGAGAATATGACCTTAAGCTACTACGTAAAACTTCGATATACTTACACGTGTATGCCATAGCTAACCCAACACTTGACTCCTTTAATTTTTTTCTACTTAGTAACACCACCTGTGTGGTGAGCCAATGACGTTTTTTCAGCTGGCTTATCAAAGGTGACACCATCAGGGTCCACTGAACACAAAAACAGTTTGTACTGTTTTCTGTGGCAGGACTCTCCATTTGAGAGACTGCTATTACATTACTTTTATACTTTCTTAAAGGAATTCAAAAAAATTCTTCTACTTTACAAGTCCATGAGTTCAAACGGACCCCTACCACAGTCCAAGCTGGGAGGTAAGGGCTGTGACTCGGTGTTGAGCACATGCTCGACATACACGAGGCCATTTTATCCCCCAGACTGTAAAGATAGTCTTAAGATGAAAGAGACAACATTTGGTGTCAAGCACATGTCCGATATGCATGAGGTGAGGCCATTGGATCCCCAGGACTGAAAAGATAGTCTTAAGATGAAAGAGACAGCGTTATGTTGGAATACTTTCCTATTTTTGTACCTCTAGAAAATAATTCACATTTAGCCTTATATTACTACCAACTATGATTTTTAACAAGAGTAAATTCAGAAAGCAGGAGAATTGCAGGCAACAATGCCAAACACCATGTCCACACTGTGAGTCCACGGTCGCGACATCATTTTCAGATACCAGAAAGATTGTCCAAACACACCTCAAAGTCTGAAGACAGCACTCCGCAGCCCTGTTGGTCTTCCCAGAATTAAAGGAGAATTTGTGATTTCTTTTCATTTCCCACCCCGAAAGGGCAGACAGTAGAAAGCATCTCAAAGCTGAGATGCTGTGGTAAGCAGGCAATCACTCTGCAGTCTGATGATGCTGGAAAAATCAACGACCCACTGAGACCTCGGGCTCCAGGGCTCCCTGAAGGACCTTCAGGAGCATTTAAGATCAGACACTGAACAGTGTTTTTAAGAGACAGAAAGGAAATACACTTACCCAAGTAGCCATTAGCACTCACTGGAGAGCAGACTCCTGCACTTAAGCTTGGGACAAACAGAGACCATCCTACACTGCTAAAAGAATATGTGGTTGCATTCTTTCACCTTCTATCATTTTATGAGTCAGACTTTACTTGAATTACCTCACAGGGCACCAAGTGCTGGAGACGAGGAACTTTCTAGAGCTAAGACAAAACACCAAATAGTCTCACAAATTCAACATCCCTGGATTCCATGACTTAGGACAAGCACATCAGGACAGCTGTCAAGTCTCTGTGAAACAGAGTCTCACTATGTCACAAGGCTGGTCCCAAAGCGCTGGACTCAAGTGATCTTCTGGCTACAGCCTCCCAAACAGCTGGGGTTACAAGTGCACACTGCTGTGCCCCAGCTGGCAGCTAGTAGTTCGTAAGTGCTTATCACCATGGACTGCATGCATCCACAAAGACTTGCCTCATTTTACCCTGTTAGCAATCCCATGAAGAGCATGCTGCGTTACCTCCCTTGTGCATGCGTATGATCCAGGCACAGAGAAGTCACATCGTTTCCATACAACCACCCAACAATAAGACTAGCATTTAACCTGAGAAGTCTGGCTCCAGAGTCTGTGTTGTTAACTCCCTTCCCCCAAATCACAGGGATCTGGCTGCAACAGTGAACGGTGCATGTTTTTCTAAAACAAACAGGAGGACCAGCAAGATGGCTCAGCAGATAGGAACACTTGCCAAAAGTCCTTGTGTGCGATCCCTGGAACCCACGGGCAGAAGGAGAGAACCTGCTCCTCTCTGCAGGTGTGCTGTGGTACCTGCATGCCCTCCCACCCCGCTCCAATCAATATTTTTAAAAACACAATCCTAACGAAATAAAATGCAGGCCACCCATTATTTCTATTTCTTTCTATGAACAGCAGCACAGTATCCACCGGGGTCACCTTACCTAGTGATGGCTCCAGTAACATGACCAGACCCCCAGTAGGGCAGTCCTAGCTACAGCCCTGGGAGACAGATCCCTTGGGAAACCCAGCAGAAGTTAGGAAAGCCTCACAGACCTGCAGACAGTGCCAGACGCCAACCCCGACAGTCTTCCCACGTACACCAACTTCAAAACCACACTTTATACCCAGTCTCCAGGCCCACCAGTGATGGTTTATGCATGACTGAGCACGATTGTGCCCACACTGGCATCTCATATGTGAATGAATCTACAATACTCCCCAACAGATGACACATTTTCACTAGCGCCCCTCATTCAATGGCCTTAGGTTTCAGGGTGACAGGTGACAGGGTGGTAGTGAGTGATTCATTCACAAATGTGGCAAGGAGTGCAAATAAACTGACATTTGAAAAAAACAGGAGGGGACAGTTCACAAGGACTCACCCCAGGAGGGCTGAAGCCAAACTCCTCAGCATCTAACACCAAAGACCCTGCTATGTGATCAGGGCTGCAGGGGGTGATGCTATTTTCTGAGTGTGACAGGATCCTCTGGATGACGTAGATGAAGCAGGCTTGCTTATGAAGGAACCAGACGCTCCCCTTTCACGGATGACCTTTGTGTGGGAAGCTCCAAGAGCCTGCTTCAGTTAAGGCTTCTATTTACAAAAAGCCCCGCCAAGGGCGCCCATCTGCCTTCTCTGTACCTGAAACGTGCTGTGGTGCACGGGAAATCCCCACAGGACAGCTTGGAAGAGAGCTGCCCAAGGCTCCCCAGGGCTGGACAGCACAAAAGTGTCACCACCTCAACACCTGTCACTGTCACACTGAGGCACAAGGACAAGTGTCAGAAGCCTAAAGGGATCTCAGCTCCTCTATAATGTCACCGAAAATGTGACGTCATGAATACAATGCCCCACCTAGTCATGGAACTAACTCTGTAAAAGCAGAAACAGAAGCTGAGTGGGGTGGCGCACGCCTTTAGTCCCAGCACTCTGGAGGGAGAGGCAGGCGGATCTCTGTGAGTTCAAGGCCAGCCTGGTCTACAGAGCCAGTTCCAGGGCTGTTACACAGAGAAACCCTGTCTTCAAAAAACAAAAACCAAAAGGAAACAAACAAAAAACAAGTAGAAACAGGAGCAGGTGTAGATTTAGAAAGTGAGTCCTTTGTGCACACAGGAGAACAACACGACGTACAACTGATGCCGGGAAGTGGAGAGGACAGTTCTGCAGCCGCCACCAGCTCTGACAAAGCCACTATGAGACACTGTGGGGTCCTGGGAGGCTCCAGTACACTGGGCAGCATTGGGAAACAGCCTATGGTAACTCCAGCACTCAGGAAAGTGGGGCAGATGTCCCAGGGCAGGCCAGCCTGAACTACACAGTGGCAGAACCCTGTCTCGAAAAAGAAAAAAAAAAAAGACATTGTAGGCACTCTGCTTTGATTTGGGCTTGTGGTTTCTTACTGTATTACCATAAAATAACAACATGTAACAAAATGTATCATCCTAATTATTTTTAAGTGGAGTTTGGTGTCTTTAAGTACATTCACTCCTGGGTTCCCATCGCCGCCATCCAGCTCGGGAACTCCTTCTAGAAACACTAAACCACCACACTCAGTAGGTGGGGACACCCCGTCCCCACCCTGCAAGACCACTCCACCACATCTCCAAGAACCCGCCTGCTCTCCAGACCTCACAGAAGCAGGGCCACTCAGCATCTGTCCTTCTCATAATGTCCATCCATGGTGAAGCAGCCACCACCTCCTCTTCCTCTTCTTACTGTCACATTACCTAACGGTCAGAGAATGGCTGGCGGACGTTGGCTCTCTTCTTCTACCACTGGGCTCCAGGAATCTAACTTAGGCCATGAGCTCAGCAGTACACCACCGAGTCATCCCCAGCCCTGTAGAACACACTTCCGACAAACTCCCACGCTCCTTTTCTTAGCAGCTGCACCATTCTTCTGCATTGCTTTTTAAAGACCCCTCAGAATACCATTCCTTGACTAGATTCTATCTTTACTGTTGATGGGGAAAAAAATGAACGAGGGCAAAATTTAGGTAGAATCCCATATCTTCCCTCCATTCAAGCAACTATTTTAAACTATGTAAAGATCCCAGCTTGTGAAGTATAATTTTGATCAGCCTTGCTTGTCCCCCTTTATATTCAGAAAGGCTAAATGGCTCTCCATTAATTAAAAGCCTGCAGTCAGGCAAGGCTAACACTGTACCAGAGCAAATGTGGGGAGAGCGCCAGGAAGAAACCCATGGCCTGAGTTGTATCAAGGGATTTCCCCACAGATTCAAAAGGCAAGGTGACTGTCATCCAGCAATTGGGCAGGCAGCCTAGAGAGTTGTGAAAGTTGACTAAATGGGTACCAGGGAGATGTCTCAGTCAGTAACAGCACCAGCCACTCAAGCAGGAAGA